AAAAGTTTTTCATTATTTTTTTTTTTTTTGTCTATAAATGAACCTTTTCTCGTTTTGTATAGAATATGTATTTGTAAAAATTGAAATATGCGATTATCTTTAATTTAGATATTTAATATGTAATTACGTTTAATTTAGGTAACTAACATAATTTAATGGTGAGAAAAAAAATTGAATATTGTTATTATAATTAAATTTATTGATACCATTACACTATTGCAATTTAATCTTATAATTATTAATTGGAGACAATAAATCAAAAATGTTAAGCCAATTCTGATTTTTAAATTAGTATTTAAGCATTTGTTATCTTTCCACCCTTTTTTTTCCCCTTAATCCATTATAATTTTCAGTTAAATTTTCTTTCTTTTCTTTTTTTTTCTTTTTTTTTGTGTAAAACATTAGAAATATGAATATAATGAATTTCAGTAATATATATATTAATACATATCATTATCATATGATAATGTATGCAATGTTAGCAAGCATTTTTACACTATTGAATTTCAATAATTAAATTTTCCCTTTTCAGTAGAGGATCATTTCCGGAAAGCACTTGGAGCAGAGGCTTATGAGCTTCTTCGTGGAAATCGCTAAAATTTTTGAGTATTTCTGTTATACATTATTACTTGTATCCAACTCTTCTCTTATTCATGTTCATTTGTTTAACCATTATTGTTTATTAGAAAGCCTTATTCGTAATTTTTTTAAAGTTATTTTAAAAGTTATTTTATTTGTAGTTATTTTGAGTAATTTAAAGTTTAAATTATAATCAATTTTATTTGCTAGTTATTTTGAATAATTTAAAGTTTAAATTATAATCAACATTTGGTAGATCGAATAAAAAATCTTTTTTCTTTTTTTTTTTTTTCAATCCAAATAAATCATTGTGTCTCTTTTTACCCAGAGTAATACATTTTTTTCATTCATTACTTTAGAGATATATCGTAATTCTTTGCTGATATCATTGAAATGAAAATCTCTGAATGAATGATTTGCGAATCGTTTAGCATTAATGGTATAATATATTCTTTTTGACATTTTCTCAAATTCTTATGTAAATTGTATTTTTTTTTTTCACATAGCAATATAATGAAACATTTAACCAAATTTTTAGATTCTCCACTTTCTTTCTCTTAGAAATGTCCCATATTCAATTTTTTTTTTTCACCATTCATATTTGAAATTTATGAACTTTTTTTTGACAATTTTAACATACTGCAATCTTCTTTTAAGATGATGATCACAGTTATCTTCATAGTTACAGTTATCTTCGTTTTTTTTTTTTTTTTGCTTCTATTGCTGCAATTTAAACCGTATACTTTGAAATATGTTCATTTGATGCTTCTGGAACAAATTCCAGAACCATAATAGCTGACAAGCATGATTTCGAAAATTCGAAAATGAACTTAGCTACAATTTTGTTGATATATCACGATGTAATTT